AGAGAGAGAGAGAGAGAGAGTTGAGATCATAATTTATTGCTAAATCATATCGTCAAGTGATTGCATTTCTTTAGATAATGTGTTCGTTTTTTAATTCTTGAAAACATTTTACTTGCATTACTAATACGCATTACCACCAGATCGGTGTGGACTATACGGAACTAAATAATTTTAACGCAAATTTTACGTTCTGCAGCTCTATACGCGTATAAATCAGCTTTAGAATCTTAACAGATGGCTTCTACTTAATGTCTCGTGATCTAAGTTAATCCTTCACGATCACACAAGTAGTGGTAAGTAGTGGTAAGTGGGTGGAACCTATGCATTGAATAAACTATGACTTTTGACTCAGCTCACTTTGTTTTAGCTAAGCGATATGAAAGAACGTTTGTTTAGGAAAAAATTATATATTACATATAAAAAAAATAGAAAAAAAAAAACAATAACAAAAAATATTGTAGTTACTATAACTAATTTAACCAGAGAAATAAATGCACCAGAGTCTTACAGCACTAGGATCTGAGGCTATCGACCTTATTAAAAACTCTGCTACGCTTGAGATTTGAACCGACGACCATTGAGTTGTTAGTCGAGATCCTTACTCTACTTGGCCCAAAAAAAAAACCTCAATTTTATTTCCCATAGATCTCGTTTTAACTTGCTTACACGACATGCGAAGACATTTGCAATAACAATATTATCTCAGTTAACTGGAACGCCATCGGCAATCCGATCTTATCCGGTGCTTTCAGATTGCGTCAAGAAATGATTCCAGACTATCTGATTCTACCTTATATTACCTCACATTACAAAATTAAAAGAAATTATGGAGATAATTTAATAATTATGAAGAAAAAAAAAAAAACAAAAAGAGGAGAAATCCTTAAACTATTTTTTTTTCTTATAAAAGGAGGGTCTTGATGCCAACTTACCGTGTTTATTTTCTCCATTAAACTATTCATTTGATTTTTCGAACACATTTTGTTTTTGTTTTGCTTTTCTTAGTTACGATGTTTAGCAAAAACAAAAAGAAAGAAGCATTTTACCAAAAGAGGAAATAAATATAAACAAAAGTCAATTTTATGGAATATAAAGTTTGGTATCTTTTTTTTTTTCTCCCGACTTAAATCAAACTTTTTCGCGTAATTATTTAAAAGCCTTAAATGGATATCTTCTATGTCACTTTCCTTCGATTAAGTTAAAATTTGTTTACAAATAACTTGTTTTTGTTTTTTTTTTTTTTTTTAAGCAATAAAAAAAAGTATTTTATTTTAGCATTTTCTCCCATAAGATATGAATGACTTTATTTTGAATAGATTTTTTTTTCTTATTTCTTTCGTTTTTTATTTAATATGTAGCGTTTATAAAAAATAAAAAAAAAAAAGTATTCGCAGCCAGAGTCACGTATATCGAATCAATTTGTTTTTAATTTGTGTTAAAAGAGCGCGCCGCGTAAAACACGCAGTAAGTTCGGCGTTTCAAGACGTTATGATCGCCTCGGTCAACTCAAAGCCACTCTTAGGTTAATTTAAGCAAACATACAGATGCCAGCCATTTAACACACAAGCACATAATCAAGTGTAAAGAGTGTAGAGTTTATAGTGTTTAGTGTTAACCTAAGGTGTACGCGGTGTTTTGCGTCTTAGCTAGCAAAGAGAGAAAGGGAGAGAGAGAGAGAGAGAGAGAGTAGTAAGAGCCATTTGCGAGGTAAAAGCTCATAACAGTAACGAGTAGAGTTTAGTTTATAAAAAATAAAAGTTTTTCTTTTTGCAACAAAAAGAGTTATATTAAACTTTCCATACGTTCTCCACGATTGCATAGACTGACTATTTTCACTGACAAGTTTGCATTGAAACAGTATTGGAAAAGTTAAATTAACCTTAAAAATCGTTTGTCCGCCGCCTGCCATCTATCGGACGTCAAGGCTTTGCCAAGAAGTAGAACATGTTCGATTACAAAATTTCGCATTACTACTGTTGCCCAATTAACTTTGGAAAACTACTTGCATGGCTGGGCTATAATAGCTGTAATAGTCTTTTTGGCTTAGAACGCGATGAATTTGGAGCTCGAAAATTTGTCTTTTATCGAAACCGTGAAACCGTTTAGAAATCAGACATAGTACATTGTAGTGCAGAAAACACTTTTCAGTTTTCGAATGCTTAAGGGAAAAATCGGATAAGAGCTAATGATTTCAAGACATTTCGTCTGGTATAACGAAACGTGTAGTAAGGTATTTTTACTGTTCCGCCTGCTTTTCGCCATGCATGCATGGGATGTATGGGCGATAAAGAGTACGACATCGTTTTTGGGTATTAAAAATTCGACTTAAGCTTCGTTTCTTTCGTTGCGTTATTTTGACGTGCAGCGCAAGATAGGTGTTAGCTGGCGATTACTACAATGAAAGGCATGCGCTTTAATGCACTAAACTAAACACTGAATATTTTAGTTGGAGAGTTTCTTGTGTGTGTGTGTGTGTGTGTGTGTAAAACAGAAAGCAAGTGCAAGCATAAACTTTAAATTAATAAAAAATAGCATATATTTTTTAAGAGAATCAGAGTAAGCGAAAGATAAATAAATTAAGAGCGAGGATAAACTGTTTCTATTTTATGCAGAAATTGTTTCTTTCGATATAACCTGAGAAGAAAGAACAATTTTTTTCTACGAATATCTTATTCGGTGTGAAGAAAGTTCCGGTTTGTTGCTCTATTCACAATAATTAACAATAATTGCAGCAATGGTTTTGCTACACAACCTTTTAAGTGCAATAAATACGTCTATCAAACCGAAAAGCAGCCAAGCTTGTAACAAAAATGGAGAAACACAAAAAAACAAAAAAGAAATGTATCGAAGGTGTTTATCGATTTTGGGCGGGTGTGGAACGATTAATGAGTCAATTTGCTAATTGCCAAATTGATTTAAATCTACTGCGAATCACCAAAGAACCGAAATTCAGTTTTCGAATAGTGCCATCAGCCGCTCCAGTTTCTGCGTAGATGGATTAACCAAGCGAGAAAACACGTAACGGAATGGATTCTAAATTCCCTGCTGGAATATATTCTTTATAGTCATGCTGCTAAGCAATATTCTCAACTAAGAAACAAGTCCTTCTCGTTTCATTCTGTACTATTTACGTGGTCCACGATTGCACACCTAACTTTTGCTCTTCATTTTATGTATGATCAAGCATTTTGGAAATGCCCTCTGTGCGCAAGGTAGAGTAAGGAGAAACAGGTGGCGGGATAGACAGAGAGATATATATGCCGAATAGGTAAATGTTATGTTTTTATTGACACACGCCCACACGCCCACACGCTAATCGTAATTCAAGGTCATGGTCTGCCGTAGTGCAAATTAAACCCACCTCCTACATCGACTTGATATTCGCGCTTGTTAACTACTTGGCCACGCGATAGCCAAATCGGTACGAGGCTTTCTTCACAATTAACAAGAAATCGACATTTTTCCCATCTATTAATATATACATATATTTTAGGCATCCTTACCTTAATACGAAGAAATTCCAACACTTATTCATATCCTAATACAACTGTTTTATTGACCTATGATCGAACTTGAAACGACTTGTATATCTTGAATTGAAAATATATATTTCGTCCTAACGTCACTCGTCCACGGACGGCACGCACTATTCCCTATTCATGCTAAATCGGATTTTGCGTCTCCGTCGCGCGGTCTTAATGGATGACTACGGGTCTCGGTTTTCCGGTGTTTGCCTTACTTCCATGGCGGTTCGGTCAAGAAGCCGCAAGTCGGAAGTCCTCTTCTTCTTGTCTACACTTTTGTTCGAACACCTATTGGCGTTGCCTATCGATTAGTTAGTTGATCACATTCGAAGTATGTCAACTAAGTTATTTCGAATGTGATATTCGCACTCCTTTTCGCTCTTACTCACATAATGCGTAAGCTTGCTTACTATAGCATCCCTGTAATACTCACAAACTGCTTACTGCAAAAGCAAATGAGTGGAAAATAAAATATACTTATCGTATTTTAAACACATGAGAGTAGCTTCTAACTGCATATGTGGGACCAAAACAAGCCGCGTGACTTTGATCCTTGCAACGGACGAACAGATGAACATATGGATATGGTTAAAGAGGTTCCAGTCAGGCATATAATTTATTATCTATTTAATCCGCATTTCTTCTCTCGAGGTGCTATAGGCACCGCATGCATGATCAAATAGACCAATATCGTATTCTTCTGCGTAATGAATGCATGAAAAGCAACAACAGTACAAAAGAAGGGATGAGCGTTAAACGATTCAATCTAAACCAGACATAATTGCTTTCTTGTTTATCTCGCTTTTATGCATTTACGAGTAATTTTGATGGCCATACAAAACGCATGTGCTTATTAAATTTGCGAGGAATTGTTTAAATGGTTAATGGTTATGGTCATAGCGATCGTTGTCGGTATCGCAACGTTCTCTTTGCCCTCTCTAGGCGTAATTGAGAGAGAAATGCAGATTTATTTTAGGGGCATATATTTAATGAGAAAACCCTTTTATGGGTTTATTAAATGGGCAGAGATAGCAGAGAAATTCTTAACGACCATTGAGAAGCCTCTTAAGCAGAATTTTAATTTTTATTAAAGATTTTTGAAAAGGTTTAAGTTTTACTTTTTTATTGCTCTTTCATATTATTATAACTAGCAATAGGCATCGGAGGTGATATACTTGCTATGCAAGGCGAGTTAAAAGCGGCTTCTTTTTTTTTTTTTTTTTTGATTGCCCATCAATAATAACGACGATTAGTGGTATGATGATTATGGTAAGAAGAAGTGAGGTGTCCAGTTCTCCCTTTCTCTTCCTCTCTCTCTCTCCCTCTCCCTCCAGAAATCTATTAAAAATTACTTTTAATCGCACCTTTTCCTCATAATTGCTTTTTTTTCTGCTTTAGTGCATTTAATGGGCTTCTCTTAGCTTTTATACTAAAATTATACTAATATTCGTTGGAATTTGATGAAATTTTCAATTTTCTTCGATTTTATTTATTTGTTTGCATATTTTTCGTATAATTTATGAAAAAACGAACAGAAACTGCGAAACATATTAAAGGGATAATGATTGAGGAAAGGGTTAAGTTATTGGTTGTCATTTGATGCCAGCCAATCCTACATAGAAATTTAGTGCCTAAGATGATGAGGATGAGGGAAATATTTTCACGCATAGATTAATGGTTATGTGAAATTTTTTTAAAACGCCATTAGAGTAAATTGTTTTTATTGCAAACTTAATTGATATCTAAAAAGCTTCATCTTCTCGCCGCAAGCTAAGGGATTGCTACATGCAACGGCGGGCTGTAGAGTTCCATTTAAAACTTAGTTTCGATTTTTGGAAAGTTGGAATTGGAAAGTTGGGCGGGCAGTTTTGTTCAAATATTATTTTAATTTTTAATAAAATTTTTTCTGCCTAAACGCCGACTAACTAATTAGGTAAATGAAAGCAAATCAAAACCACAACTTGGGTCGGATTTTAAAGATACGCCTTCTCAGAAAAAAAAGAAAAAAAAAAAAAAGAAGCTCTCATTGATTCGGCGCGATAAGTCGTAGAAAGCTTCTTATATTCAACAGATCAATTTTAAAGCTGTTACCAGACGGCGGTTGATAAGCATCTTACCATGTAAGGCATGGTTCGGGCCCACATAAGACTCGAATCCCGAAATATCTCTTGAAGACAGTATCAAAATCTATGCATATATAATTTAATGTATTGCGATAAAACAAGCTCTCCCTGCGACGCTTAAAATGTGTGATTAAATCAAGTAAAAATATCGGTTAGGATTTCATGGAAAATGTGGCCTTACAAGCGTGCGTTTATAAATCGGTTGACTTTCAATAATTTTACTTGGTTTATACATTTCCGGAAGAGTTGCCGAGTAGGTACAACAGATTATGAATGAGTATTCTCGGATTCAAATCGCAAAGCGGTAGCCGTAGCTATGGTGAATGTGCCAAGTCCGTACAGTCGTAAGACTTATCGACTGCACACACAGATCCACCAGGGGAATAAGAGACCACCTCTGGACGATTGGTCTTGGAGATCTCCAGGAGAAAAAAAAGAAGAAAATTCTCTATACTTGAAGGGTAAACGTGATGTGAAAATGTTAGATGGGAAGCACTTTCGCCCATATGCGTCTTAAATTATATGACAGAAATTTTCATTTTACTTGATCGCTTCAAAAACTGCTGTAGAAATAAGCGAACACACCCAGACACTACTGCCACAAGATGGTAAAAAAACAAAGCAACAGGTCTTTAGCAATAAAAATAATAATAAAAAAAATATTTAAAAAAAAAAAAAAAATGAATATCATGATTATTAACCCTTTCTTTCACGCTTTTACCCACGGCGTAAAATATTTAAGTAATTTTCTATATGGTGGCTTAGTAAAATTACTGGCTGGAGTAACCTTTGGCTGATAACAGATCTGCACAGCAGCAGCAAAAGCACGTTAAAGATTTATTAAAATTAACTTTTTT